GGCAGCTGCCGGTGAAGCAAAACGGGCCGGGATGGCAGCGGAATAACAAGCAGCCCGGCGCAAGCTGCCCCTCGGGCGAGACCGGGGCGGGCATCCGCGCTGCGCCCTCGCCCTGAAAGCGCCGATTTCACGCAGACCCGCTGCGCGCCCCCCCTCGCTCCCCTACCCCACTCAGGGCCGCGCATCCCCGCTACCCCCCGAATCCCTCCCTGCGCATGCAGAGGATTTAGGCTGTTGCAAGCGAAGCCAGGGGGATCGGAAGTGTGCGGTGTGTGCTCTGCAAAAATAACTAGTTTCAGATTAATGAAGGAGTGACAATTTCAAGGCTAACGTTGGCACTGCCCAAGCCAGAGCGTGGGGAGCTCGCCAGGCTTTGCTTTATATTGTCCGCTTTTCTGGAGAGCAGACAAAGATGGATAGAGAGACATTCAAAAGCGGGAGGCGTATTTCAAGCAGCTCAATGAAGAGGGTTGTCACTTAAAGACAAGAACCATAGTGCTTTGATGACTTTGTATTAGCCTCACCGTTTCAAATAAGTGACTCCACTCCCTTTACGGAGTTCACCAAATTTAGTAGATGACACTTCAGCGGGGCTGCTCTGGGCAGCAACAAGAGCCTGTAATAGCGGGGGGCGGCGTAGGGGGAACTCCTGGAGGATTTAGGAAAGAAAAGTGCCGCTCCCGAGCTTCTTTCTCTTCCCATCCCCGAGCGATTAACCTCGATAGCGCCGCGGTGCAGAGTTTCCGTGGGGCAGCGCTCCGCAGCTTTGCGAGGGCCAGCTCAGCGCACGGCTTTTTTTTTTCCTGTTCTTGGAGAAAAGCAGGGAACGGGGTTGAAAATAAAGTTGTGCGCAGTCTTTGCACGCCTTCGTGCATGTCCAGGGCCAGACACACGCTTGTACCATACACGCCTGTGTGTGCCGGAGGTATTTGCTCCATGGTGCCGTCGGGTCCCTCTCTAGGTCGCCTCGCTCCGTGGCCTCCTCGGCTGCGCTGGGGACACCCCTGCTGGATGTTTGCCAGGGAAAGCCATCAAGGGCTTCGATTTTTTGTGCCAAAGACCGGTATTTTTTAAGATAGGGGACCCCCGACCGCTGCAGACCCCCAGGCTTTGAAGGCGCAGCGAAAGGGCTTCGCTGTGCGCTGGAGAGAACCGTTTAGTCACTGTTTCATTAGGCACTATTTGAACCTTGCAACATGTGGTAATTTCTGGGGCAAGCTGAAAAGGGGGGATTATGTAGGAGGGACACAAGGAAATTAGCGAACGGTTAATTTAACTCGTTTTCTGGTAGAATTTTCGATACATTCCTAATTGACCGAGGAGGCAGGTGAAGTCTTCAGTTCCAGGCAGACTCATTCACGGTGAGAATAAATGGCTCTTTTTCAACTCACACTGCTCACAATATATCATCAGGAAAAAGACATGCAATGAATATGTTGATTTTTTTTATTATTATTAATGGAA